CCTTCAACCCCGACTTTTTCCTGTCTGGACGTAACCCGCCGTTACGCAAAAGCGTACAACTCAAAAACCAGACGGTGGAGAATCGACGGCTTAGTTTCATCACGCAACGGCCTGAAAGGGGAACGCTGGCTGAGGGCCGCGCTGAGGAGGTACCAGCCCCCGTCCGTGACGGACTTGCTGCAGATTGAACTCAACGAGCTGAAAGCGGCCGAGCTGAAGGAGCCGATGCCGAGGAATGTGATGGATTTTAGGGATCATCCTGTTTATGCTTTGGAGAGGCATCTCAGGAGGAATGAGGTTTTGGTACCAGGGGCGCAGGTTAGCGGGACGGTTGGTAGTGCGGGGGGGAGGGGGGGGTTGGAGAGGATTTACAGACGGAGGGATGTCAAGGTGGCGAGGACGAGGGAGAAATGGTTTAGGTTGGGGAGGGTGGTGAAGGGTGGGGAGGTGCCGGTGAAGGTGCTGCCAAAGATGAAAAGGAAGAAAAAGGGGCGGTTGGGTGATGGTGATGATGATGAGGAGGGGGAGCAAGGGGCAGGGAATCCAGTTTTTATTGAGAGTCAGACGGAGGTGTATGTGCCGCCTCCGGTGGTGGGGGGGAGGGTGCCGAGGAATAGGTTTGGGAATGTGGATGTTTATGTGCCGAGTATGGTTCCACGGGGGGGGGTGCATCTACCTCATGAGAGGGCGAGGAGGGCGGCGTTCGTACTGGGGATCGATGCTGCGCCGGCGTTGACGGGGTTTGAGTTTAGGGGGAGGCAGGGGACGGCGGTGTTGAGGGGCGTTGTGGTTGCGGTTGAGTATAAGGGGGCGATGGAGGCGGTTATTCAAGGACTAGAAGATATGGAGGTGGAGGAGGAGCAGGAGAGAAAAACGGGAATGTTGCTCGCCGTCTGGAGAAGAATGTTGAAGGGGTTGAGGATTAGGGAGAGGATCATGGATGGGGTGGATGAGGAGGCTGAGGCGGAAGCCGAGGCCAGAAAGCAAGAAGACAAGGGTAAAGCCAAAGAGGTAGACATGCCTGATTTCGACGACACCGCCACCCCCTTTCACGATGACGAAGATGAAGACTCAGCCGGAAGGGGTGGTTTCTTCCCATCCACCAACCTCGACAGCGATGACGAAGGGGGAGGGGGTGGGTTCATGGTAGAAGAAGAAGAAGAAGAAGAAGGCGGCGGCTTCGTGATAGAATAGCCTTTTTTTTTCCAATCCCAGATTTCAATTCTCACCCTCCCCCTCCTGCTTCCGTCCCTCCCAAAACCCCCTCCCATAACTCACCATCACCTCCTCCCCCCTCTCGATCCCGGTATTCAACCCCTTTTTCCCCCTAGGCAAAACCCACACGCTCATCACCTTTTGTCCCGTCCTCTCATCCCACGCGACTTTGAACTCGGCGTTTGGCTTCCCCTTTTGTTGCTTTGGTGGTTTCTTCTGCCCGGGGACTGGCTCCGGGGGGGTGAAGGGTATACCGCGGTAATCGTTCACGAACCTAGCCTCGTTGCCAGCTCTGGCTGCGTCGACGGCGACATCTGCGTCGCGGTCTAGCCAGAGGTCGTAGTCTGATTTGGTGTAGTCGTAATCTTCGTCTTGGAGGCCGGGGCCGGAACCGGGGTGGTAGTGGCCTAGGTAGGGGAGGATGAGGGTGTCTGGGGGGAGGTGTTGGGTTGCGAAGAGGCCGGATTGGCCGTGGGCGGGATCTAAATGGGGTTTAGAAGGGGGAATAAAAATGGGGGAGGGTGAAGAGGAGGGGGGGGACGCGACATACGTTTTGGATCAGTGATGGGGGTTATTTTGACGTGAGGTGCTGGCCCGAGGGGGAAAGATCCCGGGATGGTGGGGAGGTCGGGATCCAGGGTGCGGAGGAGGGAGAGTTGGGAGGGTGTTATTTGAGGGGAGTAGGCGGGGGTAGTGAGATAAGGGAGGGATTTGGGCCAGTTTACGGGAAAGGGGTCGTCGTTGCTGGGAGTGGTGGATAGCGTGGGTTGTGATGGCGTGGGTTGTGATGGCGGTTTTGAGGGTGGTGTTTCTTTCGTCATTTTACTCGATTTGGTCCTTTTTATACTGGACTCGTTGGCGGGGTGTTTTCTTTTTCGGGTTTCTGACATGTTGGTGATATAATGTCTTTGGAAGTGGTTGGTGGATGAGAGTTGCTTTTGTGGGTGTGAAGCAGGTTGCGAGATGGAAATGAGAAGTCTAAGTTGAAGTGGTCAGTGCGAAGTTTTGCCGGGCTTGCGACATTGCAACAATCTTCAGACTCTGGGACAAGCCGACATTTCCAGGTTCCTGAACAAAAAAAAAATTTAAAAAAAGCAATGATTCGATCTGTGATGGCTATAAGTGAGCACACATAGACCAAATAACAGAGATCATGAGGTAAAACCAAGGCTTCGAGGCATGGTAAATAGGCCTTAAAAAGATAATTAAGAGGCCTAAAAGGATAGTGAACAGGCTTAAAAAGATAGCTAGGAAGGCTATTAGTTATCTTTTAAGAGCTACCAAATATTTTTCGAAGATTGGTTCAGTATTTTGCAGTGCCAGTTATTATGTCCACGACGTAGTTCTATGTACAAGTCGACTTCGCAGACGACAATGTCTTGGAAATGCTATCGCTATCGTACAGTCGGGTCTGGCCCAAGACTGGAAATTAGTCTTGGGCGAAGAGGCTACCCAGATTGTTGTATATTTGGCTTTGTTGTTCCGGGGATGGTGTAACGGAAGACAATGCTCGCGCGCTCGGCGTCATACAACCTTCTCGAACCGGAGATACAGCTGCTCGCTTGCAGGACGTGAGGTGTACCCATCTGACTGATTCGCTACACCCTCATCATTCACAATGTGGCTGGTGTAGTTGGAGTAGATGGCCGCGATCATGAGTTTCATCTCTGTTGAAGACGTCAGACAGGCAGAGATGCCATCAAAAGCATGAGCACAACTCACCATTCATTGCAAAGTTGGACCCAATACACATCCTACCGCCTGAGCCGAAAGCCCAGAATTGCCTGTTCCGCAGTTTCCTTTCGTCTTCTGTTCCCGTACCCGGCAGCCACCGAGTGTGGTCCCATTCCTCAGCATCTGGAAAGACTGCCTCGTCACGATGGAGAGTATAGGCCAAAGCTGCCACCCTCACGCCACCCGGTACATGGTACGAGCCTAGACGACAGCCCGCCTCAGGAGTTTGACGTGGCTGTGGCCCAGGGATTGGCGCGTGAAGGCGTAGTGTTTCTGTCAGTACGGCGTGAAGTAGAGGGAGACTGTCCAACTTTTTGGGATCCGGCATATCAATCGTTCCATCTGGGCGCTGTCGCAGGTTTGGTGTCATGCCCAGAAGTTCAGTTCTCAGCTTCTCTTGCAGTTCCAATGACTGTGATAGCCTCCAGGTTAGATATGTAAGGGCCAAGCCAGCCGTTTCCTGGCCTGCCAGCACATGGTCGAAAAGCTCTGATGCAACTGACAGCCGGAAGTTGGACACAGCCGGATACAGGAGCGAGTCCTTGCCCTTCGTAGTTTCATCTTTCCGAAGCCCACCAACTAGACTTTTCCATACTACAGGCTCATCCCTTGGGTCAGTGTTAGTTGTGTCGGGAGAGGCGGATATCTGATCACAGAGCCGTAGACACCAGTCGCCAAGCTCCTTATTGGCTGCATCCACCCACTTGGGGCAAAAGGGAATGCCAATCTTGCGGCAGAATCTGGTGAACTGTGGCATCTCTTGATCGTAATATCCATAACCCTGGCGGGCCCTGTACAGCTCGAGAAAGTGCTCTCTGTAGGCCTTGTCGCCTAGAAAGTCGGTTCCATTCCTCAGCCCAAAGAGGTAGCCGGCGATAAAATCCATCGTTGCCGCCATAAACACCGAATAGATATCGATGCCATGGGGAAGCTGGGTATCTTTGGCGGACCGTTCAAGAATCGGCAGAATCCTCTCGGAAAGAATGGCGTGCCCTTGGGCTGAAGCCGCCGGACTCGACTGCATGTATGACTTGGAGTAGACATGGGATATCAACCGCTTCCGTGCCGAGTGCTCGGCAGAAGGTCTTGCCGAAAACATGCAGACAGCGCTTTAGAAAGTGTGTAAGCACAAGTAGAAAGCAAGACGATTGATTGCTGTCTGTGCGTGCCATACCCATAGTTGTCAAAGACAGAATACCACGAAGTCTTCTCAAATCCACCCTGGTAAACAGTGCGGACACAGTCCACGTCATCGATGCTCAGTTCGCTGGGCCCAACTCGGACTATGGGACCGTGACGGCGGTGGGCGGCAAAGAGTGTTTTATTTTCTCGATGGGTGAATCGAATCCGCAGGATCCAGAGGCGGGAAAACGGGACGGACCAGTGAGCGTTGGGAATGCGCGCAAGAGGGGAGAACAATGCAGGCCAAAAGATGAAACGATATGTCAGAAAAGCAAACAAGGCGGCTGCGGCGCAACTCAGCCCTGTGAAGCCACCAGCCATCTTCATAGGCTTCCAAAACGTCTCTGACTCTTTTCCCTTTTGATGCGGGCTCGCTTTCAACGTGCATGAAAGATTGATGACTGCAGACAGGTTGGGAGTCAATTGGCCTTGGCCGGGTAATCTGGCTGCCCGATTGAGATTCGAGCGGATGTCTTATTGGTCAAGATATTTACGCTAGTCCTTTTGTGGCTAGTGCGGCAGTTGAGTCACGGCATTGATAGATGACCCTCGGAATCCACTTCAGAAGTTCCATCCAGTGTTGTGTCATTGGTTCCTGTCAACCAAGTCAAAAGCAAGCAGCAGACGGTTGATATTCAACATCAACGTCTCTTCATCTTCATACAACCTTTGCTTTACAAACAGCAAACTGCGTATATTTCATTGGCCGCTCTTAGTTTCAGAAGCAATGGGGTCCTCGGTGCCCAGAAGCTTCATCGACCTTCCGCTGGAAATCCAGTTCCTGGTTTTCGCCAACTTTGACTGTGCAAGCGACCTTCGAGCGCTTGCCTTGACTTGCAAGAAGCTGCATAGCGCTGTCAACAACGATGGATGGCGACGTTTCGTGGAACGCAGTTTTCCCTCTCTGTCTATTCCCATTCCAAACGGAAATCGCCACACCTGGGAACAACTCGCCGAATCACTAACCTGGCAAAGTCGATGCTGGGACCGGCGAGCTCTGCAATTCCAAGTTCTACTACACTCACCACACGGCGATGAGGTGAGACGGCACCGAGGGAATACGAGGGGGAGAAGTCTATTCCACTCTGTTGTTGATGCTCATTTCGACCCAGCCACCCATGAAGAGCTCGTTGTATGGGGTGCCGGAGAAGACATCGTTGGCCGGTATAGGGAGCGCCAGGGACCGGACAAGCCGTCCAAGTCTTCGTGGCACAGCGTTAATGGCAAGGAACTGGGCTTCAGGGCGGCTTACGATGATGTCAACTCGGTAAAGATCGTCAACCACCACACCGGACGAGCTGTTGTCACTGGAAGGCACAATGGAACGCTGTCGCTCATATCAGCGGAACCGGATCGCTTTGGCCAGCCCATCTCGGAGTTCAAGTTCGGTCCTCCACAAACATCTGAAACAAACAACGGCTCAGAACCGGAAAATCTCAGTTCGTTGGATGTTCTTCAACACGGCTCCAGCACAAGAATAGCGGCTGCCACGAGGAATGGCCTGGCCATATTCGACCTTCCTGCGGACGCCACAACCGAACTAGAGCCATCTGCTACATTTGATCTCAAAACAGAGATATTCTCCCTGAACACCTCGAGACTCAGTCGTGCCAAATGGATGGAACAGGGCGAAACCGTTGCATTGGCTTTGAGTGGCTCTCCCGATCCTCTCCGTTACCTCTCCCTGACACCAACGGGCCTCACTCATCACACAGCTGCCAAGAATGCATCAATTGCAGCTCAGTTTGAGCTCAAGGACAATGGAAATATCTGTCCCAATTCTCTAGAACCTGTTTATCGGACTGGAGGCTGCAGAACCAGTCTACTTCTCAGTGCGTGGCGAGATGGGACTATCAGGTGCGTCAACCTGACAGCTTCCGAACCGCGTCTGGCCATGGTACTAACACCGTCTGTAGGTTACAAGACTTACGCACACCATCACCGTTTGACGCTGTCTATCAAGACAATGTTGATCCATGGGTTGATGCTGAGGCCCTCATGACATACGGCACAGAGCGCTTCGTTGCCGGAGGGGGGGATGGCCTCACCGTCAAGATATTCGACTTTCGCTGGGAGCGACCCTACCATCACACCTCAGGTCTTCCGTGTCTGAACTCATCGCCATTCCCAGGACCCTCGCAAGCGTTCTTGAAAAATCCTACAAAGTCAAATCTCGGCAATGAAAGGTGCAAGCAAGGACGAGCGTGCCAGTACCACGAGCTCTCAAAACACATCTACTATCGACCGAACGCCAAGTTTTACCTTTCCAGGTCACTGATCAACAGCAGCGCCACATCTGGTCGCTTGCCCGAGGGTCAGACATCTCGCCCAACTTTTACATTGGCATTTCGGGCGGAGTTATCGAAGCCAATCTGGAGCCGTGTCCAAACAACTACCCACCGGACCGGCCCACTACCGACCCTAATTTTGGATTCCCAGACTGGAGAGGACGTGCGGCAGATGGCAGCGGGTACATGAGCAGACAGGTCTCGCCGGCTCTTATGGAGATTGGGGACGGTTATGCATACAAGCACAACGACAGACCGATACTGCTTCCCAGGCTGCAGGACTGTGGTGGTCCTCCGAGCTGGTCTGGCCCGATACTGAAGCTCTCCAAGTATCACCGGCTCGATATGAACTATCAGACAAGGGGGGACTTTCTGTGGGGTTGACCATACATCAGGGATAGAAAACTGGACATATCACGGGACCATTCCCCTGAAGCATTCCAAAGCAGCCAACATCCCAACATTTCGTGTTTCCATGCCAGGAACAGCATGCTGAGAAGCCTCTGTTCCCCAGCTGACCAGGTCAGATGAACAGTGGTTGAACCTGGAGAAAACGGCCGGGATGGTGCGGCTTAGCTAACAACTGGGGAAATGGGGTGACCCGATTGGTTGGCTACGTCAAAGCTGGGCTGAAAAAGGCCAAGACAAATGCCGAGACTTCTCTGGATTGCCGGATCTGAACGGATGGGGTGGGTCGCGCTCGGGACGAGTGACGGACGTGCATGCACTTGCGACCCGGGAAATCATCTTGTCGGGAATACATCAGACATTTGGAGTATCGTTTATTTGGGATGTTATCTTTTTGGAGATGTAGACAGTATGTACATACAGAGTTGGGACCAACAGCATCAAACCAACCTGAGACAGGTCTGCAAGGGGAGAATTGGGGAAAAAGGCGTGGTTTGGGGGATTTATAAAGAGCGAAGAAGCCCAGGCTTGAAATGATCAAATGTGATGTCAGACATTACCCCTCCATAGCCGTGCTTCTGCCGACGGCGGCCGGTCGAGGGGCACGGCCCCGTACAAAAGTGACAAACCTCCTGCAGATGAGTTCAACAAGGTACAAGCTCACACACATACACACACACACCCCGGGGGGGGGGGGGGGTGGTGATCCCTGGGTGGACGGATGGATAAGGACGGGCGGAATTAACGTGGGATAATACGTTTCGTTAGATACACAATCACAGATACCGGTGCCTTGTGCCGTCGGGTCGGGTGTTTTTGGCTCCAAGGGGGGCGGGGGGGAGTGTGTCTTTTGCTGGCCTGGGGGCGCGGTCGAGGAAAATAGATAAGTTGGCTGTTCTGGCCGTTTCAAACTTTCATTGTTGTTCCTGTTCTTTTTCTTCCCGTTATACCTGGTTGTTCCACTCATACTCGAATCCACTTCGTCATATCTTGTTTGACGACATCATCACCAACAAGAGCCCTAGATACCCACCTTGCTTGCTTGTGTGTGTATAAGTCAAGCTTCGATTTCCATTCACCCGATTGGTTTGACGGCGTCATAAAGTAGATCCCGCTTTGACTTATACACTACTTCAAGGTCTACCACCACCAACATTATCATCACAAACTTCACATAGCTGTTTTCTTCTCACAAACAGCAAAACATAACAACTACCGTCAAGATGGTTTCAGCATACACCAGCAACGGCTCCGAGGGCGAGACGGAGAAGATCAACACCAACATTGTGACGCTCACCCGGTTCTTGACTGAAGAGCAAGTCAAGCACAAGGAGGCCACCGGTGACTTTACGTACGTTTCTTCTTACCAATTCCCTCCCCCCATATTCATTCACCTCTAACAATCTCATGTCTTCAGGCTCCTCTGCCACGCCCTCCAATTCTCCTTCAAGTCCATCGCCTACTACATCCGCCGCGCCACCCTCGTCAACCTCACCGGCCTCGCCGGCAGCTCCAACACGACAGGCGACGACCAAAAAAAACTCGACGTCATCTCCAACGACCTCTTCATCGAGGCCATGCGCTCGTCGGGTAAATGCGCCTTGCTAGTGTCGGAAGAAGAGGAGGAAGTAATCTACTTCAAAGACGCCAAAGACGCGCGCTACGCCGTAGCCTGCGATCCAATCGACGGCTCCTCCAACCTCGACGCTGGTGTTTCCGTCGGGACAATCTTTGCGATTCACAAGCTGGCTGAGGGGTCGACGGGAACAAAAGAAGACATCCTCAAGCCCGGGACGGAGCTTGTCGCGGCGGGGTTCACCATGTACGGTGCGTCCGCCCAGCTGGTGATTACGATGAAGGGGGGGAGCGTGAACGGGTTTACGCTGGATAACGGGGTGGGGGAGTTCATTCTGACGCATCCGGACATGAGGCTGCCGAAGAAGAGGAGTATTTACAGTGTGAATGAGGGGAATAGTTTGTATTGGGAGGACAATGTGAAGGAGTATTTTAATAGTCTGAAGGAGGCGAAGGAGGAGGGGGGAAAGCCGTATAGTGCCAGGTATATCGGGAGCATGGTGGCGGATGCGTACAGGACGTTGCTTTATGGGGGGGTGTTTGCCTACCCGGCGGACAAGAAGAGTCCGAAGGGGAAGTTGAGGATTTTGTATGAGTGTGCGCCGATGGCGATGGTTTTTGAGAACGGTGAGTTTGACACATGGATCTATGGGCAAGGGAGATATGATGCTGACAGTGATTATAGCTGGTGGCCAGGCGGTTGACAGCCAGATGAGGAGATTGATGGAGGTGGTGCCGGAGCATATTCATGACAAGAGTGGAATTTTCATGGGCAGCTGGGATGAGATTGAGAAGGTCAAGTCCTTCCACAAGTGAGGGATATGACAAGAACATCATGACATGATTGAAGCGATGGAAGTCAATTTTGGGTATTTCTTTTTTTTTTTCTTTCTCATTTTACTACACATGCATTCACCACGAGGTGTTTTTTTTTTTTTTTTTTTTTTTTTTTTTGGTAATCTTTCAATGAATGAATTCGATATCATGAGAATGTTCCTTGGTGTTTGATGTGTAATGTCTCGTGCTCTTCTGAGAACATGGAATCGGACTCGACACCGGCCCCCGCGGTGGAACCGTTCTGCAACAAGTGGTGTGTGTGTATGCAGGTACTATTTGACCATCAGAGTCAATCGCTTGAACCTAAAGCAAAACAACTCCCTGACCGTTATTTGTCGATGTTGAGGCTGTCTCCCTCACCACGAAATAGTTGACACACAAAAAGTATGTTCACATGCCTTAAAGAATAGTTTATAGGCCTTCAAAGATATTTAATAGGCCTTTGGGAATATTCAAAAGGCCTATTAACTATCTTTAAAGGCCTATAAACCATCTTTCAAGGCCTATGGACTATCCTGTAGGGGCATGTTAACCTACTTTAAGTATCCTCAATTATCTTGTGGCAAGGGTGGCTGTTTATGGTGCCTGAGTAAGTCCGGTTTTGGAGTTGCAGCGGGCATGGGCGATCGACAAGACCTTAGCAGAGAGAGGGTTTGAGGGATATCTCACATGCCAATTGGGCTATTTTTGTTTCTTCCCCAGAGTTTCTTACTACCCCGTGATTATGGAATCCATGGAGATTCTTTTTTTGAAGAGACAAACCAAAAAAAGTCGGGGAACCGGGGATTGCCCAGGCGGCGGAAAACATCTTGCATGTGAAAGGAGCTGGATGCATCAGAGGAAAACGCACCCCGGGTCGCACTAGGCCGCATTTGGCTATGCCTCGGCCTTTTTCTGACATCACCTGGACCCGCGGCTGGCCACGGAGCACACGGCAGCGAAACCTCGCCTCACACGGGCGCCGTGGGTGGACAGTTTCGCTGTGGAATGCGCTTTTCGACCTTGGCTGTTGTGTTCAGCGAGGGAAACAACCGCTACTCCGAGGTATCTTTTTGAATTATAACCATCTCCAACCCCCGCCCCCGTCCATCCGTTTCTCTGTTTGTCGTGCCACTACCTTTTAAAAACTATCCTTCCCTTCTCTTTGTTGTGTCCTACAACTTCTGACCCTGTATAACTCCTTGTTCCACCACTTTTTCAAGTCCCTTGGCTCGTTACAAGATCCACAAACCGCAACAATGGGTGGTGAGTAGACTTCCTACCGATGACCGGCGCGTGACGGCTGACATTCCGTGGTGAAGCTCTCGACAGACTTTCTCAGCTGGGCAACCAGATCTCCGGCGGCGCCTCCGCAGGCGGCAAGGCCAAGCTCCTGGAGAAGAACCCCGATGATGTTAGTTTGACCTGGACACATGACAACCGCGGCGCATAACTGACATGCCTTGTTCAACAGATCGTCGTTACCGCTGCCCTCCGGACGGCCATCACAAGAGGTGGAAAGGGTAGCTTCAAGGACACAGCCGCCGCCGACCTGATGGCTGGTGCCCTCAAGTCCATCATCGAGCGCTCCAAGATCAACCCCGCCCTGGTCGAGGATATCGTTGTCGGCACCGTCCTCGCCCCCGGTGGTGGCGCCACCGAGATGCGCGCTGCCGCTCTTGTTGCCGGCTTCCCCGACTCCACCGCCGTCCACACCCTCAACCGCCAGTGCTCTTCCGGTCTCCAGGCCTGCGTTGACATTGCCAACGCCATCCGCTCCGGCCAGATCGAGGTCGGCATCGGCGCCGGTGTCGAGTCCATGTCCACTCAGTATGGCCCCGGCGCCGTGACCGAGTTCTCCGAGCTCCTCGAGAGCCACCCCGAGGCTGCCAACTGCAAGGTCCCCATGGGTGTCCTCTCTGAGCAGATGGCCAAGGCCAAGGGCGTCACCCGTGCCGTCCAGGATCAGTTCGCTGCCGCTTCCTTCCAGAAGGCCGTCAAGGCCCAGAAGGCTGGTCTCTTCAAGGAGGAGATCGCTCCCCTCAAGGTCAAGTACGAGGACCCCAAGTCCGGCGAGACCAAGGAGATTGTCGTCGACAAGGACGATGGCATCCGTGAGGGTGTCACCGTCGAGTCCCTCGGCAAGATCCGTGCTGCCTTCGCCAAGGACGGCAGCATCCACGCCGGCAACGCCTCCCAGGTTTCCGACGGTGCCGCCGCCGTTCTCCTCATGAAGCGCTCCACCGCCGAGAAGCTCGGCCAGACCATCCTCGGCAAGTACGTCAACGCTTCCATCGTTGGTGTGCCCCCTCTTCTCATGGGTCTCGGCCCCTGGAAGGCCATCCCCAAGGTGTTCGAGCTCACTGGCATCACCAAGGAGGACGTTGACATCTTTGAGATCAACGAGGCTTTCGCCTCTCAGTGCCTCTTCTGCGCCAACGAGCTTGGCATCCCTGCTGAGAAGATCAACCCTAAGGGTGGTGCCATTGCTTTCGGCCACCCTCTCGGCTGCACCGGTGCCAGACAGGTGTCCACCCTCCTCTATGAGCTCAAGAGGACAAACCAGAAGATTGGTGTCACTTCCATGTGCATTGGTACTGGTATGGGTATGGCTGCTGTCTGGGTTGCCGAGTAAGTGGAAGAAGGAAAGGATTGAACAAAAATCATCATTCATTTTTGGTTTGGCAAGCGAAATCATTTTGGGCATTTTTCATGATATTTTTTTCCTTTTTGTATTACTCGATTAATGAGAGGAGGCCGTCGTGTCGTCACGTTCGTCTGGCTGTGTAACTCTAGAGGGCAATTTCAAAGGAACAGGGAACAGAGTTGGTTATACCTTAGGTAGCTACAGTATGGGAGGGGCAAGAGTTCAACTGTGTGCTTGGACAAATACACACAGTTACAAGGCATTATCTTTTGGAGCGTTGTTTTTTCTGCATGTGAATTTATCAGGAGCAAGTTCATTGGCCTCGAGAAGTCGAGAAGTAACTGACAGAATGGTGGATAATTACTGTGTGGGGTAGGAGACGTAGTGGGGATGGCTTGAAAGCTGGCCAATCAGAAACTTTGTATTGTTCTGGGGTGCCGTCACCGCTCTGGGGGATGTGAGTCCTCTTTCTCAATTGGAATTACTAGAAGGCCAGCCCAGTCGCTTCTGGACCCTTTCGTGGAGTTCAACATCTCCATTTGTCTCGTAATTTTCAACCTCGACATTTCTGCAGCGTTCACGGAAAACCCATCAAATCCTCGGCATCGATTTCTATCCCGGTACCCTCCGGTTCTCAAAGCTTCCCGGTCCTGCGGTTCACGGTGCAAGGTCTAGGATTCTCGGCGTTCGATTGGTTACACGCCCCGATTCGATATTCGAGACAAATCCGATTGCGGTTTTTGCGAGCCCTGCAAGTTTCGAAACCCCGCATACTCCCCCGTTACTCGTACTCCGGTGCTCTATGACGAATTGAAGGTTGGAGGGGGAGAAATATACATTGGCACTACGCCGTTACCGGCTTTGTTGACCACACACAGGCTTTAGAGCCAGCAAGGCTGTGAACGGCCTAGTGAAGAAGGTGTTGTTCATAGTGCGTCTTTTCATAGCCGGACAGGTTTCTTTGAAGTGCCCCGCGGCAGGTGGTGCAGGAAACTGTCTCGGAAGGACAGAAAAAAAAAAGGGGACGTTAGGTCGAAATAGGACACAGCGAAAGGGCCTGTCATGGCGAGAGAGAATAATGAGGCGCCGGGTGCCGGCCAATCAAAACGGCCATCCATGATTCATTTCGACAGCAGCGATCAAACACAGCAACACACCGTGGTGCAACCGCATCACCGTGTCAAGAGCCAAAAGCACATTGTGGGTGGTGGCTCACGGCTGCATGCGCGAGTGCCGTCTTCCAAGGGTCTTCACAAGCACCACGGTGGTGCAACAGCCTCGACGACCAAACTGAACAACCACCACCGACAACACGGCAGCGGCTCGATTTCACCAGATAAAGACGGGGAGGGACTGACTTTGGTGTCGAAACGTCACCACCATCGCCGAGCAACCTCGGAGCTGAAGCTCACCGGGGATGCTACCACGTCATCCAATCACATACAAAAGAACGTGTCGCAGACGAACCTGAAGCGCAATCGGTCCCAGGCGGATGTGGGGAAGAAGAGCAAGTCTACGACGAGTCTGCATCGACATACCGTCTCGAATCCAAACGTGAACAAACTCAAATCTTCGCGGGAGGGTTCCAAGGTTCATTTTAATCTGGGAGACGACGAGCAGGAAGACGATAGTCAGGACGACGGGGAATGGGTTGATGCCAGCACTTCTGCTTCACCGTTGCTTTCGAGACGAGGTTCTACTATTGGTGGGAACGGACAGCCGACGAATCCGAATCCTCCTCCTCCTCCCCCGACGAACGAAATACAGAATAAGCAACTACCTACGGTTGTAGCGTCGCCTCCGTCTCCCACGTCGCATAGAGATATTCCGAGTAAACAACAGGCGCCGCCCGAGAGTGGGAGCGGACTGCATAGTGCGGACAGTAGTTTTACCCGGAACGCTACGCTGGCTAATACGATTACTTCACGGATATTGTCCAGGGCTCCTTCTCAGGGTGCTGCGCCAAAGATGTCGACCGAGATTGCTGTTGCGCCTAGGCCGCCGGCGCCGAGACTGCCGTCTGCTCCGCCTACACGGCCGGGTTCGTCACAGAGGATGTCGCCAGGGGAGGCGAGTCTGATGCAGTTGGCGGGAGGGGTGGGACCCAGACCTGGGAGCAGCGGGAGGGCGGAGCTGCTCACGTCGAGGTTTGTGGGTGGGAGCAGCCAGGAGCCCGGCTCGGGCATAGCGGCTGACTCTTTTATCGTTGCTGCTGCTGCGAACAAGGGGGGTGTTTCTCGAGCTGCGCTGGGCGGCAAGGCGGACGCTGGTATCCCGCGTCGGCCGCGGTCGATGGGGAGTCTGTCGCATGCGCATGAGCAGCTTAATGGGGGGAGATATGATCAACAGCAACATACTGACGACGAGGAAGGGGTTCAACACCAGTCTAATGGGGCGAGGACAAGGCGCAACGGAAACGGCTATGTAGTGCCGCGGGATATGAACCGGACGCAGCAGAAGCTGAATCTGCAACGGGCCAGCTCGGGATTGGAGTCGACTGCTTCGGGGCAGGCGATGGTGCCTGTTGGTGGTGGAGGTGCACCGAGCCTGCTCATGGGAGCTGTCGGGGGTGGTGGGGGGGTTGTTTCGAATTATGGGACGGCGAACCCGAAGCATGGGAAGATTTTGGAGAAGACGGGGATGCAGTATTTGAGTGTCAGACGGCATCAGAACCCGATTGCGAGGTCGGTGGCGAGGATTTGGCAGCTGCCTGGGATGGAGATCAAGGCGCAGAGGATCCCGCCGCCTAGTCGGGCTGCGAGCACTAGAAGAGGAGATTTGGGGAGGTTGGCTGTTGAAGGAGGGGGCACTAGGCCACCGAGTAGAGCGGCCAGCGGGTTGAGGGTTGGGGAGAGCGCGGCGAGCAGTTTGGGGACTGATGATGAGTTGGGTGGTGGTAACGGAGGTGGTGGTGGAAAGGGGAGACTGAGCGGTGCCAGTCTGGTGGATGGCGGGAACGATGCCGCGACGAGGGCGCAGCTGGAGATGATGTGGAATCAGAGCATGGATTTGAGCGCGAGCCAGGAATAGAGAGCCGTGGCTGAGCGGGAGGAGACATTGGTTGCACCATGGGGGTCATCATCTCAACAGCCAAGGGGGTCGGGGTTGTCGGTTTGCAACTTGGAGACTGTCGAGGAGGAGGAGGGGGGGGGGCTCTCTAATGCGGAGCCCCCGAAGGATTTGCTGGTTGAGAGGCCTTTGTCGGGTGTTTAGAGATATCTCCCACAAGCCCGTTGAGGGATGTTATGGGGGGTGGGTGTGGGTGGGTGGGATAGTTTTTAGGTTGATGGGGAGGATAGCGAGTGATTCTTTTGAGTTTATTTGGGGGGTGTTGCTTTTGTGTTTTTTTTGACAGCGAACATGGAACTGGGGAATGAAATATGATTTTTTTTTTTTTTGCCTTAAGAATTCTTGGTGTGGGATTAACGACACTGGGTGATGGGCAGGTCAGGCTGTATATATAGATAGATGGCTACAAGGGGGAAAGGAGCGAAACTTGATTATGACCACCACTTTGAGCAGTGTCTCTTTTTTCTTTTCGTGATGTTCTTTTTGGTATGTCCCAAGCTTCAAGTGATCACTTGAGTTGATGGGGACCTTGATGTGTGACGGGCTTCATGTTTTTCTGTCCACCTCGCAAAGTCATCATACATACCATTCACCACACTTCATCACAGCACACCACAAGAGAGAGAGAGAACCATAGTATATTCATATTTACTCTCCTCCAGCCCATTACCCTCCTTAACTTCCCCCTCCGCCTCCCTCCCCCGTAAAAAAGCATTACTCGCTTTGCCTCTCAAAACTCACAACACCCAACTTCCACTGTCTCCTCAAGAAGCCCCCTCCCCCCCCCTCCCAGCAAAAATGAAATGAAAGCCTAAACAGAGAAGACTCT